CCCCCCCGCCCCTGCCGTGAGCGCGGGCCTGCCGGCTGCGCTGCCCGGTTAGGGTGGCAGCGGTGGGCAGCTGTGCCGCTTGACGCCCTCCTGATCCCTTCCCAATTAGAAGGGGGCTGCTGGCGCACCGCGCCTTGAAGACTTACCGCCGGAGCAGCCCCGAGTAAACGCCGTGTCCCTGCCTGGCAGGCTAGGGTGGCAGCGGTGGGCAGCTGTGCCGCTTGACGCCCTCCTGATCCCTTCCCAATTAGAAGGGGGCTGCTGGCGCACCGCGCCTTGAAGACTTACCGCCGGAGCAGCCCCGAGTAAACGCCGTGTCCCTGCCTGGCAGGTGACTGTTCCACGGGAGCCGGTTGTCAGAAATCGAGCGGTAGTTGTTATTTGCTTACCGAGGCTCTTCCAGCAATGAGCCAGCTTCGCCTGTCAGCTCTTAGGTTGGATTTTGCCTGTGAAAGTGTAGATTCCCAGGGAACCGAAATATTTGGCAAGCGCCTTTTCGCTCTGGAAAAGGTTCTAGTCAAAGCAAAAAGGAATGCAAAGACTTGTCATCTGTCTGTTCATTTGTTACTCTGTGTACAGACCTCAGCTGTACTGTGCAAGCAGATACGGATTAGATTAATCCAGCATGTTTATTTAAGAATAAAGGCTGTCTTTTGGACTAACACAGTGATAGAATTTGATAAATTATCTTCTTTAAACAGTAAACATGGCATTAGGGTTAGATAGAAGGAATAACAATGTACACAAGTCTCATGAGAAACGAAGGGCATGGCTTTTCTCAAAATGGTAGGTGTCACGGCAACTCTTAATGTCAACAACTAATGGCAATAGATTAACTATTAGCATAACTGAAAGTTTGTGACTGACGGCAGAAAGGGAGGGAACTTGCTCTGTAGTTGTAAAGATTTCCTCATGCGGTTAGTTCAGCTATGTATTTATATATATAGCCATATATATAACAGGTATGTGGAATCCTGTTATGTATAGACTGGTTCCAGATAGCTGAATTCAACTACTATTCATAAGAAACGAAACTGTCCATTTTTAAGTGTTGCTTACTTTTTCTAATGTTAGTCTTTAGAGACATTATTTGGAGGCTTCTGTCATCTGCTGCTTTCACTTCCGTAGTTGTGGAAGTACTTAACTTACAGAATGCACATCTAATTGTTTATATATAGATATTAATATTAATGATGAGTGAGTTTCAGGTGTGGCTGCCAAGTATGTGAAGACATAAGAAATTGCACCTCAAAGCCTAGCAGAGAAGATGACAAGAACATACGAGATTTGTTACTTGTCACCTGACAGACTGAGAGTGTACACATGCACACGTGTGTACACACACACACATATATATACACACATATATATTTAGCATTCCCTCTGCTGGTAGTCATCTCAAGCTCGAAGTAGTGTTGTCCAAGTTAGGTCATTGGTTCATGTTTGTTTACTATCATTTGACCTATGTTGAAATCCTGAGTTGCTCAAATCTTGCTGAAATATGTAATTCCCTTAAGCAAGATTTAACTTTAAAATATCTTTTTTAATACATAGAGGAAATGCCTGCATGCTGTGGATGTTTGGTAACAAGGCTGTCTTTAATTTTGGAACCTTTATCTACATTTAGGAGTTTTCCTAGTTGATATGAGACTTTCTTGGTGTGATGCACTAAGCAGATTGGCAACCTTTCTGCCAGTGGATGTAGATTGTATGGAAGTTTGGATGATCACTGTCTTTTCACCTTTTCTTTAAAGTTTATTTATTTATTTTTTCCCCTCCCATGACTCATGAAACCAGTGGTGTCTTCAGGTGAAGATCTGAATTAATTTAGGTTTCCAAAAGTTGCAGAATGGATTAATAGGCAAAAGTTGTCTTATCTGCTGAATTAGTATAAGAATAAATTTATTACAAAACAAGGAAATACAGCTTTCTTAAAAACGCTTGAGGAATTAGGGAAGGGAAAGGGGAGATGGGAAGGGAAGGGGAAAAGAAACAAAAAGACAGGAGTAGTTGTTGCTTTTGGATTCTGTAGTAGAGGTAAAGAAAATTAATCTGAGTCTGATACCGTTTGTAAACGGATACTTTTATATGTTCTCTAGCAAGAGTATTGTGAGGATGTAAGTTACTGCATGGGAGATGCTGAGATATGGGGGCTGTAGTAGAAACAAGTGGCCACCTGTATGGCTCTGCTCTCTGTGAATTTGAAACAAACTACCCTGTATTATTGCATACACATATTGCATATGTTATGTTAATGTATTTAAATGCCATTATCCCACTGCAAAGCTTCTGCCGTACCTGGAAATAAAGCCAGTTTGCAATAGAAAATCACACTACTATAACTTGCAATAGAAAATTAAAATAGTGTAACTTGCACAAGTGCAGTTTCATCCTGCAAAGCACCCTGTTCTAGGCGGGTGCTGTGCACTGCATATGGGCACAGCTTTCATTACTTTGCCAAAGCCTCTTCAGTCATTTGACTATATTAACTTCTTTGCACAGTTTGCTGGAGTAGCTGGATGGCTCTAATGAGCGTAGCATACTGTTCCAGTGCACTTTCTTCCTTCACATCTGGCTATGTGAGGTGCTTTCTGATAACAAATTTTGCATATAGGCAGAGGCCAGTGGCTGGGCCCTGCGTACTTCAACAGTTGCAGAAGTCCATGGTAGATGGCTGAATTTCGGACCTCCTAAGAGACTGACCACATGTGTATTTTCAGATGCACCCCCACTTCTGAGCAGCAGAAACCTGGGAAGGTAAAGAGCAAGTTTTATTTCTTTGCTTACCCAGTGATTCTTTAATGTGTAGTCTTGTGTAGCTGTGCTAAGTATTCTTTTTCCTCTTTTGTTTGTCTCTGAGATGAGAAGAGGAAGTTTAAGCCTGGTTCCTGAGATGTGAAGATGAAGTTTAAGCCTGGTTCCACAGTAAGTACATCCTGAGAATGTTTTACTGTGCCTAGGGGAATGCATAGTCCTTTTTCAAGGGGGGAGAGAGTGCTTACTGGCTCACCATGCAAAGGAAAATGTTTTTCGTCAGTGACATGGCGAAAGAGAGGCTGTCATAGTTTTTTATCCTTTAACTAGCAGCTGTTTTCTGTTGTAGATCTGAGATGCAGTAGATGGTGCTGAAGCAACACTGAGGCTCCTGAAATATCCACAGTCCAGTGTGTATAGAAAGTGCCTGCTGCCTCTCCCAAACACTGATGGTCCTGTGTCTTCAAGAGATGCACTCTGGGACAAGAAAACACTGACTGTTAGTTTTAAAAATGTTAATAAATAGTTCTTTGTGTTATTTATTTGTTCTTTATTGCTTGTGAAGGTAGGCAGGTTAGGTAGTACAAATACCAACCAAGGAGTGCTTCAGGTGGTTTCAGCTCTGTGTGTAGACAGTCGTCAAATTTAAGCTGTTGAATGTCAGCTCTTTTGACAGCTGTTGCTCAGTGTTGCCAAAATCAGCACTGAAAGACAGGTGGAAGTTTGGGAGCACACTGCTCTAGGAATACATATTATAGCACACAGCCACTGTGCTTGTGTTTCCTGTCCGTCCACAGTCTCACTGGTTCTCCCAGGCATGCGGGCAGGAAATGTTTCACAGTATGACTAAGGAGTTGTATCGAGGTTTGTACTGTCAAAATAACACTGTGAGCAAGCCTTACTAGCTGGGTTATACCAGCTAGAGTTGATTGTTCTGCTAAAGTCCTCTCAGGAATGCAGGTTGATAGTGGTGGTCAGGGTGGTCAGGCTAATGACACAGTGGCATGTGCTCTCAGTTCATAAAAGTACCTGTCTCTCTGAACGGTGTGGATTTCATAAGTGGTATCACAGAATACCAGATTGGAAGGGACCTCAAGGAGATACTTTGTATCCCATTAGTGAAAGTGAAAAAGTCTGCCTTTTTTACATTGGAGCCATTCATTTAATATTCCGGTTTGAGCTTAGTAATTTGCGTGTGGGCAAGATTACTGGGGCTTCATCACTGACACATAACCAACAAAGAATGCTTAGCTGACTTTAAAGATGAAATCATGGGTCAAAAAAAAAAAATCTCTTTTTTTCCTCAGCCTTTGCTTTTGTGAATAACCAAAATTCTGTCCACTGTTTCTGAAAATTCTGCTGGTAGCATGATGGAATTGGTGTGATGCAGTAATGTCACTTTCTGGGGTTGTTAATGACAATAGGGAACTGGACTGGCTCTCCGAACCAATGGAAGTTACTTTCACTGTTTCTAAGTGTAGAGAGTGGATGAATGGGTAAGTGCACTTCTTGCATTTTCCTCCCCCAATTCGAGGATCTTAAGCTTTAGAAATGCTTAAATGTTTCACAGTTCTTCAGCTTTTCTTTATTTAAGAGAGCCTTCCCACTGCCTATAAAAGCTGCCTATAAGTGGCTTTTTTTCAGATCATTTATGTATGTGTGAACATAAATAGACGCCCACACCTTTTACATGGGAAGTGAAAACTATAGGAAAAAAAATTACAGTTATCTTGGGTGACTTTGTACACACCACTTCTGTAAGGGATATGAGCCTGAGAGCAATGGAAAATTGTTTTCCCTTGTTCTGTTGTGCTTCTGGTTTTTCCAGTGTACAATGAGTATACCCTACAGGATTCAGGGTCCTTACGCAAGGAGAGAACAGTCTTTATCCACAGCAAGTACCTTCTGAATTGGTCTTATAAGTGAATACCATGTTTTTAGGTTGGGAGGAAAACAAAAGGGTGGGGAGGGAGTGTGAAATGATCCCAAGCTGAAATTAACTTCTCTGCCTTATATGAGAGGAAAAAACAAAAGTTTCTTCTTAGCTTATTCAGAAAACTCATGATCAAATGCAGCGTTTGAAGGCTGCCTTACTGACAGTTGTTTTGTAACTTTTTTTCCTACTTTTTACTACTGTGAGTGGTAATACAAAGACTCATGTAAGTTGACTAGGGTTTTTTTGCCAACACTTCAGACGGACCCTTACGGATTCATTGAAATCCTGTAGCAATCAAAACTGAGCGCTAAGGATGGTTGTAGGCTGCTCTCTCTTTTGACTGGAATCTACCATGCGGCAGTTAAGTGCAGAGGTTATTTTAAATATCAGACATTCTAGTAGGATTACATTATTTTAGCACTTTAAAAAAAAAATATACTCAAAATCTGTTATAATGCAGATTGTAGAATTTAATTTGCTAAATTTTTAAATGTGTATTTGTTTATTTATTTAGTTCAGGAATACACTGTATTCTGAAGAAATTTTTTCCGGTACCAGCTGGTTTATTAGATTTTGCTGTAAATTTAGCCTGAATTCTCACAGCCTTGTGCTACCAGCAAATGAATCCCACTTTGTCTTTCTGTTGGGACTCAAGTCTTTCTCCAGTTTCTTTCCCATTTAGATACTTGATGAGGTTATTTTCAGCTTTTTGGGATGATATAAATAATTGAAGATTTTAGGCCTTGTACTACTGGGCAGGTTTTGCAGCCTTAAGTCTTTGAACATACTTCTTAGTGCATTTATTTTAATGTTCGTTATCTTCAGGACTCAACACTTCAGACCATGCATAATGCCATATCCAGAAGTAATACATTTGTATGCTGCTTTGACTTCTAACATGCTTGTAAGAATTATACTCGCACTCTCTTCTGAAGTGTTTAAATGTTGGTTTTGGTGACTCTGGGTTACTGCTTTTCTGGGTGCAGTAACATGAACTATGATTTTAGATAGGTGATGTGTTTACATTTTAAGTGTTTGGATGCATATTTTTCAAAATGGCATGCTTTGCAAGGTTAGTCTGTGTAATGGATCTGTTCTTGTCACTTACCAGGCTTAGTGTTTGTGTTGCTCTTGGTAAAAGAGAGGGATGGTTTGGGATTTGTTTTATGTTTGCTTTTAAAAGTACTGACAGGGTGAGCATTGTGTGTACCCTGAAAGAAATACCCCTTTGGATGTTGATTCCAATAACTTATGATTGGTTAATTGTTTTTAATCCACAATCCAATCAACACAAAAATAACATTATCCAAAATTAGTACGGATGACACATGGAGCTAGGCCAAGTGCCTTATGGACATATCTGTCACAATTGCTTTTATTGCTTGTATTTGTGGTTTCTTCTGGTTGGAGACTTTGACTGATACTTGTTTATTCATACTTATTGTCTGTTGATTTTCCTTCATGCTGTCACTATTCACATTTTATTTCTTTCTTTTGCCCTTGTTTGCTAGGAAAGATAAAAGCATAATAGAAAGATATAACGCTTAGAGAAATTTAAGGAAAATGCTTCCTGTATTTTGAGTGGAGTCACAAGGAGTCACCCCTACAGTTAGCTGGGTCTTTGAAATATTTTTGTCAAACTCAAGACCTGTTTTATTTATCCTTTCAAGAAGAGAAATGGGTATTCTATCACCTTTAAAGGGAAGAATCATTCCATCGCTGTGAATTTTTATGTATCCTTCAGACAGGATACAGAAGACTAATAGCAATTTGAAAAATGTAAGGAACTAGTGCTAAAATCACTCTGTTCAATACTAGGAACCCTTTTTATGGCCACACATTGTAAGAAAACAAAGTGGTGAAATAAAACAATTGAAAAAAATCATAATGTCAGTGATTTATGATTTTTATGTGTAAAAACGGTATTTTAAATTTTGTGCATGCAGGTGCATGTTTTAGTCCATTTGCTTTGTGCATGTCAGAGTAAGATTTAAGAAACTGATCCCCTAAAACCTGAAATGGGTTTAATTTAGTTATTTGTGCTTCTTGAAGGCATTTGACACAGAATTTTCAACTTGAGCACAAAATTTGTTTAATTTCTCTATGATTGGCACACTGTCTCCTGCTCTGAAAGGTAAAACCTGCACAACTTTAATATTGCAGTGTGTCAGATTTATTCTGCATTGCTGTGCGTGAAAAAAGCAGAGACAATACTCTTTTCTGATTCCACATCTGAATCAGATGTGGAAGGTAAATATACCATAAATGGAGGTATATTTAACTTAACTATAGATGTTTAGTCATAAAACTTCTCTGCAGTAGAAATGGAAATAACATCATCATTTAATTTCTTTGTGATGTTATCTCATCCTTCGTGATTTAAGTTTTCAGCTGTCTGGTATGTTCTGTGCCTACTCACTAGTTAACTTTGAGTAATTTATGTTAGTTGGTATAAAGTTGGTGAGATACTTTAATTTTCTCAAGCAGTGAAGAGGTTTGTTTATCAGGTATAGCAGATCTGCTGCTATTCACTTTCTAAGCTCTTTTTCTGCTCATTGGGGTTACCCAAGTGTCTTAGTGATGACGGTTTGGAAATAGCTTGGGTAAATGACACGGTGTTTTGTATTTAGGTTAGGCAGCTTTAAACGTTTGAATATAAAGCTGTCTGGTGTAAAGATTGGCTGGATTGTTTATTATGTGAAATAGCATCCAAACCCTTCCTATGTTGTTATGTATACGAAACCAGTAAGGGTCAAGTCAAATACAGTAGCTCAGTCTGCTCTACTAGAAGACTGAAGTGTCCTGGATGGTGGCGTGTGTGATGCATGTCATAAATTGTGCAAAGCTGAGGGGCAGTGACAAAATAAATATATATTTAAAAATGGCGGGGGGTGACTTGGGAAAATTAAACTATAATTGTCTTAGTGACTCAATGTGCTTCTCAGTACTTCATTTCCCAGTGGTGACTAAGATGGGTGAGTAGTTGGTAATATACTGGAATGGAATTTCAGTATTGTATTAAAGCAGAAGGGAAAATAGGAAAGAAGTGGAAGCATCTGAGTTTAAGAACTATAGGGTCCAGTAGCGGTCTGCAAATACCAACTATATTTTAAAGGTTTCAGGTCATGTTTTTCTCCTTTAATGTAATTAGTTTGTATCTAGTTGTGTCATCTTATTGGTGAGACCGTCACTGTGGGAAAGAACTTGTCTCGATGGGATGAATGCAGTCTGTAAATTCAGTAATTAATCTGTGAAAGAAAGAACCTCTGCAATCATTAAGCTGAATTGGTTTGCAGAGTATTCTGCCATATATTTGGGGTGCTTGGGGTTTGTTTTTGTGGTTGCCTTTTTTTTTTCTTTTTTCTTTTTTTTTTTTTTTTTGCTGCAATGCTTTGTTTACATGTACATGATCTTCCTTTTGCTTTCAGGTCTTGGGTATAAACTTACGTAAGTCCTAAAAATGGGAAGAATTTTTCTGGATCATATTGGTGGCACTCGCCTGTTCTCCTGCGCAAACTGCGACACAATTCTGACCAATCGTTCTGAGCTCATCTCCACTCGTTTTACAGGGGCCACAGGAAGAGCCTTTCTTTTTAACAAGGTTGGTAAGAAGCTGAGGGGGAACTACTATTTGCTTTTGAAAAATGAGTTTTTTAGTTTTGATGACAGGTTCATATCCCACAAACTTATTGGCTAAAGTGTTGTATAATTACTTTTGATTTTTTTTTTATTTTTATTTTGTTCTATTCAACTGTCTTCGAAGTCAGATTAGGCTTTTACTGTTGGTGTCAAGCTATCTAAATTAGTTTATCTGCAATACTAAAAGACTATAAAGAGGACTGTGTATATAGAGGCAGCGTGCCAAAATGCATTGAGTTTTAATTTTGGAGACATCTGTAATATCAACCTCAAATTCACTCTGAGAGCATGTTTTGTCTGTCAGAGTTTCAAAGGCATTTGCACTTTTACTCAGTTAAAAAAAAAAGTCTAGATAGTATTCTGTTTCATTTCTAAAACACATTTAATGCTTAACAGTAGTACAGTAACTTTAGGTAACCACAGTCTCTTTTACAGGCAGTAATACTCAGGTTTAGTTTAATTTTTTTTTATTGATCACATTATATTTAATTCAACGGATTGAAATATGGAAGTCATAACTCTGAGTGAATTGTAGCATTACTTATTAACCCTCTCCGTTAGACTCATTGAAAAAAACAGTAATTGTCCTTTGCTTTCTCACAGAGTTACTGGTCATGTAATCATTGGTGTGTTTTGGTTTGTTTTTTTTCTTGAAAGCTATTTGGTCATTGGCAGAATTGACAGAGACATCAGTAATGTCTTTGCTTAACTGTGCTTGGCCTTGGGATTTCTGATATGCTGAATCCTGTCAGTATTTATATCTAAGTGTTAGGCTGCATAGCTATAAAGGAGCTGTGCATCTGATTTCTTTCTCATCCAGTAAGCACTGGATCCTGGGGCTCAAATTTTTCTTGTGTTACATCGTGGAGTTTAATTGCAGAAGTTTGATTTTTAAATTTCTGTGGTCAGAAGCCTTACATGTGAAGCAGAGAGAGCAAGCACAGTCAGGTGGAAAGCTGGGAAAGCAGTGCAGCCCCTTCTTTTAGAATCCTACTGCAGTTTGGATATAGTTCTGACATCAACTTTTCAACAAATTCTACATCCTGGTTCTGTGGTGTTGCTGCCTAAACAAGTTAAAAGTATATTTTAAACTGCTGAGATAGCATACAAAAAAAGGTGAATGTTTAATGCCTACGTTCTCAGCCACTGAACCTTCCTTTTTCTTAGATGATTATTTCAAAAGCACACCAAGATTTTAAAAGTACCACCTCTTTTAATATTTTGGTTCTGATTTCTAGGAATCACATCACTTGCTAGAAATGGGTTACAAATATTACAAGTGGATTAATATAAATTGATTTACAAGCTGTTCACCAGGAATTTCTTTAAGCAAGTTGAACACAGTGCTCTGCACTCTCATACATCTTTTGATAGCATTGCATGTCTCTCAGTTAAACATTGAGGGTTATGCATCCCCGTGAAGCACATCTTTAAAGTGCTACCTTCTCAAGCAGGAGATTTTCAAGGGCTGTTGACTTATTACACTGCAGTTTTCAGTTCACGTGCAGTGCCACAGGCTCCTTACTTTAAAGTGTTGATAGTTATGCACATTATGACCAAGCTTTGCTCAGGGCAGACTAATCCTTTCTATTCCCTATCCCCTGTATATTTGTATCAGGTGGTAAATCTTCAATACAGTGAAGTTCAGGATCGGGTCATGCTCACTGGCCGCCACATGGTTCGAGATGTGAGCTGCAAGAACTGCAACAGCAAACTGGGTTGGATCTATGAATTTGCTACTGAAGACAGCCAGCGCTACAAGGAAGGCCGTGTTATCCTGGAAAGAGCGTTGGTCCGAGAGAGTGAAGGATTTGAGGAGCATGTTCCATCCGACAATTCCTGAAGAGACTTGAGTCTCTTTGCAGGTTTTCTTCAACTGAAACTCAAAAATAATAAAATCAACAAAAAAATCTGCTTACATACACTGTCACCTTAGCATCAGAGTCGGATTCATGGACTACAGAGTGGGAAAGATTGTGAAAGTATTTCAGATGGAACCTTCCTTTCTTTATTCCTTTTATATTTTACTTTCCCTCCAGCAGCTGTTTGTAGGAAGAATGTTGTGCAGATGCTGTAACTTTTTCTCTCTTGCATTTACATCTGTTAGATTTGAGATTGTATCTACAGATACAGTGGGCTAAAGGAAAATATTTGGGGGATTTGTCTTTTGTTAGAGAGAAATCAATGAGTTTTTTTTTTTTAGTTTGCACAAACTGATGTCAGCATAAAGTTATTTTAAAACTACAGATGTTTTTTAAAAAGTATATTCCAATTTTTGGCTTAAGTTTTTAGTTGGTTTGGGTTTTTTTGGTTTGTTTTTTTTTTTTTTTTTACCCGGTCTTTTCACCTGATTTGCTAGCTAAAGTAAAGAGATCCGAATTTGTGCCGAGTGCTAAAGGTTCAGTGTTGGTACAGCTTGGGCTGGCCCTTGTGCCATATTCTTGTTGAGGTTGATTGGTAGCACAGAGCCCATTATTTCTTGTCGTTCTTGACCCAAAGATGTCACCATTCCTTGTTTATTTGTGAAGTCCCATTCACCATGTAAACTGGTGTTGATTGGAAACTATTCTTGAAATAGGGCAAAACTGCTTGGCTTTTTTAAATTTTAACTGATGTAACTTATAAGCATAGTAATAATATAAAATACTAGTTGTTTAGTCTTGCGTTGCTTACAAATCAGAAGCTGTGTTTGTAAGGATAGGGATCCACTGAGAAGCTACTGTTTCAGTAGTAATTTTTTTTGTTTTGTTTCTCTACCAATCTCTTGAAGTAGATAGGCAATTGCAAACCTTAATTCTTCTTCAAGTAGCTTTCTTTAAACCCAGAACTTCCTATGTTAAACACAGCTGCTGCGTAAAAAGAAAAGATTGCCAGCATGTTTGTTCATGCCTAGAGTTATGCAATCTGCATCTCTTGAAAAGATAAACAGCTTGTTTTCAAATGCTGCTTCTGGTGTCAAAACCTTTCTCTTACAACTTTGTTGAACCTTTTCATTGTGATGTTACGTTTTTATCTCTCTGGGCAGCAGTACATGTCAGCCTAGCAGTAACTAGTGACTTGGATTCCTGCTTTCTTCTTGTAGAGGTCAGCTCTGTTTAAAACAACGATATTGCTTGCCTTTTTAGCAAAAATGCTCTTCATTAACTTAACTCAAGGGTGCCCAAACACTTTTCATTGTGTCTTAAGCCATAAGTTAAGATCTCAAGGGCTGAAATTAAATTGAATGTTAGGTATGTATGATTCCTTATCAAAGATACAAGTGTTTTTTTTTTTTTTTCTTATTGGATAAATTGTGGTCAACATGAAATAAGTTACCCGCAGACGTACAAGAAGGGAAAAAAACCTCCACCCAACCAAACAGATCTGGGCTCTGACCTTTCAGAATAATGTTTCTTCCCTAGCCACAGCTCCATATCTGAAGCTAAAATGTGGAGGGTGACTGTGCAGAGTATTTTTCATAATATTTTGGTTGCCAAGTGGCAATTTGGACACCCCTGACTTGAATCTACTGCCTATTTCATGTAAAAGTAGCTTTGTTATAGAATTGTCACATAGAAAGAAAACAGAGTAGATCACATCCCAGAGCTGTGCTTGAATCAGGCTGCTTAAACGATAGTGTACTTGTGCCTCAAATGAATCGGTTTTTGCACTGAGTACAGTAGTACCCCATTATCTTGTACTTCTGTCCTTCACAGACCCTAAAAGCCCCATTAGCATGGTTCTCTGCAGTACTTTTCTTGTACTTCTGACATTACAGTACAATAAAGTATGTTTTGTCCTGAATTGATATTTGCATTCTTTTTGAGTAATTTTCATGGAGACTGTCAACTGAATGACATAACCTGTCTTCCATTCACTACACTGAGTACATCGTTGCATTTCTACAGCACAGTGACAAGCTGTTGATGAGCATCTCTCTCTGAATAGGTGGCAAAAGAGTGTACTGTTGATTTTGGAAGGTGCTAAGTAAAGCTTCATGCATAACACTTGAACACTTGAAAGCCTTCAATTTACTCCTGTTAAAGAGAAAATAAAAGCAGGAAATTGCTCATGTAATGGAATTCTGGGTGCCAGACTTCTTTCCCTGTCTTTGAAAAGACAGCAAGCTAAGCAAAACTCCAGCTTTTGCAAGAAATGTGAAGTTTTAGCTTCTGAAATGGCTTGGGAATTGAGGAACTGGAAATTTGTACATCTGGAATTCTGTGACCTTTTTTCTTTGCATGCAAATGTTGGGGAGAAGCCTTCTGCTAGCAGCTGGTCAACTTTGTAAGCTGCAGCTGAAGAATTGAGGTGAGAAGATCATTACATTGGTGTAACGGAGCCAGAGGGGCTTATTCTAACTGATATTAAGACCTCTTCATTTTGGTAGAATGTTAGATGGTGAGATGTTAAAGATTACGTTCCCAAAGTCTATGATTTGAAAAACACTGTTGACATGAACTCATTAAAAGCCTGCGAGGCTTAAGGAAGTCCACTGTAGCTTTAAAACAGCAGACTTCGGATCGCTCTTTTAGCCTACATGCTGTTCCCTTCCCTATCGCCTTGGTGGCTCTGTAGGAGAGTTCAGCCTCATAAATATTGACTGCTCCTCCTTGAGACGCTTTGTGTGTGAACACAGATAACTTATCTGTAGGGAACAAGACAATTGGTCTACAGCACTGCTAGCAACAGAGGAGACATTGCTATTTGGTGTTAAATGTTATTTTGTAGTAGGGCAGTAGCCTTGGATTCCCAAACAAGGCATGGCTGGCACAGCAAAATGCTGCTGCAGTGAACTTGTGCCTGGCATGTGATGGCGTGCCTGTGTTGTTGGGGCACAGAAGGTAGCAAGGGAATCCCAGTGCGCAACGGACTCTGCTGTACTTGTACGGAGACCTCGGGGTTTGTGCTCTTAGGCTGCAGCTCGGGCTGAAGCTTAGGCTGCAGCTTGGGCTTAGCAGCAGTACTGTGACTTTTGCCAAACCTTAGCTGTATTAGAGTTTACATTACTTGTGCTGTGACCTCATCCTGTAGTTGCAGTGTAGATGTACCCAAAACCAAAGTACCTCATTAAAGCTGCTGACTACCATTTCAGCAAAACTCAGCTTTGGGAAGATGAAAAGATCGGATGGTGTGTTTGCTGATTGAAAAGCCAGTTTAGTTATGCTTTCTGTGGGTGTTCCAAAGAACTTTCGAAATGGCATACGTTAGCTTGCGGCTCTGTTAGAAAAGGTAGCATTACCGTGGGCTCTGGGGATGGCTTATGGCCAGCTGACACAGGCCTTATTCTTTCAGGGCAAACTTGTCTCTTTGGATTTCTGCCAGAGCTGTAGGAAACAGCAGATTGTCAGTGGATTAACAGGTAAGGAACTGGTGAAGCTGCAGTTCAGGACACAATTGCCAGGTATAAGGAAGAGGTGACTGGGAAGGCTATAGCATTGAGGTGGGAAAAGGCTAGCTGGTTAATCGACCCTGTTTTAGAAGAGAAACTTAATCTATGATCTTGCAGTACTGTTCTGCAAAAGCCAGAAATAGTGCGTTGTATTTCCTTCTTGGGCCTCCCTTCACTTATTTAACAAAATAATTAAAAAAAAAAAAAAATCCAGTGAAGCTTGGTTTCCTGTGGCTGTTGAGGGCTTTGCGGACTCCTTGATGCCTGACAGGCATGCAGAGCTTCAGACTTTGCTCGACTGGGGCGCTGATTATGGTTTCTCTCCAATCTGGGCCCTGTTTTTGCAGGACTTTAAAGAACTAAGCAATTTTGAGACCCTTTTCTTTATGAGCTGGAGTTCAAGTGCCCAATAACTTAAAAGGATCACTTTGAATGGTGGGGAGGAGTATGACCTGATTGACGATGTCACTCTGTAAGCCTTTTTCTTCTTTCAGGAAATCTGAAATATTATGGCCAAAGAAAATGAGCTCCTCTCTGTTTCATCAACTATTGCATGGCAAAGACATTCAACAGCTTCTGACAAGCCTGATTTGGACAGCATGGAGCTGTTCCTGGTCTCTCTGTTGCTTCCCTCACCACCTCTCTCTGCTGTAAGGATTTCTGGTACGTGTAGGAAATTATAAGGAGAGAAATCTCATGTTTGCCTTCCAGCCTTTTGTTTCTTTACTAATAGGGTTGTTCTTATTTGAATGGATTTCTGTGATGCTAGTAAAACTGCTGGCAGTCCAATGCCAGCCTTTCACTAGGTAAGGGCCCTCCCGGTGGGGTATTAGTGACATTATCATCTCTCTCATCCTCAAGTCTAGGCAGAGGTTATTTGGGAATGATACTTGACTGAAGAGCCTGCTCTGAGTAGAGGTGATGTGAAGGAAGACCTCATACACCCTGATGCAGGACACTTCCATTCCATTGCTATGCTGCATCTCTTTCCATCTGATGTTATTGTCAGTGTGATCTGCTTAAGTTTGCATCACAGCTCCTCCTTCTGAAAAGGAGGTGACTGTGAGACAGCAGTCTGTGCCTCTTAAACGTGGCATTTCTCTCTCAGGGGCCTGAAATACCTACAGTTTGGTACAGGCTGCTCTGTCTTCTGCTCAGTTTGAAGGGGTGGCTGTGTTCCTGTTTGACTTGTTACTGCAAAAATAAACCCTGGCGCTTGCCTAGGAAACGGCCAGAACATCTCTGCAATGGGAGGCAGGTTATGGAAGAGAAACCCAGATTAAAGAGTAAAGAAAACATTTGGGGGGGGGGAGCAGATTCAAGTTTTACTAAACCAGACAATTTCACTCAGAAGCAGCAGAGGTGGAGGAAATTCTAGAGGTAAGCTTGCACCTTTTCTTTATGACTTGTGTGGGTTCAAGGAAAGTGGAAATCAATTGGGCCCTGTAGACGATCTAAGGTCACCTGTTAAACAGAGGAAGAGTCTGAATTCAAGTGCTGTTTCTTTTGAGAAACCTCATTGAATGTCCTCGCTGTAGGACACTGATAATGGGAAGTGCAGAACCAGAGCAAAGTTTCTGGCATCTCTGTGTTTGGGTGAAGGCAGCTGGAAAGTATTTGTCCTTCAAAGTAGGCTCTGTTTTTGTTCTCATTATCTGAAGCATTTAACAGTATCAGAAACTTGCATTTCTTACAGAAGTAAAAATAGGAGAAGGAACAAAAAGCTATGGCATTAATTCACATTTCCTAAGTGTCTGACAGGAGTAGGTGGGAGAGAGAAGGGCGTTCAGACCTTACATTTTGACTCTTCCCATGAGAGAGATGTGTGCTTGCCTGACATCAGGATCCAGCGCTGTTTCCCTCTAGGACTCGGGGATGTTTAGATTTGGGGGGTTGCTTTGTCCTTTTGGAAGCATTTGATTTCACTGTTGTAAACATTTACAAGTGTTTGAGACAGTATATTTACTGAATTACAACAGACTTCCTACCATAGTTGTTTGCAGACTGATGGCCAGACATTGCAATAGATGCAGTTGGTGAAACAGGGAGGCCCCTTTCCTACTAGGGAACACACGGCAGAATGGCTAGCCAAAAAAAAACTGCCTGGTGACTTTCATCTGTCCTTGTAGACTGACTGAGTATCACATTCTCCTGTCCTTGCAAGTGTTTGAGCACAGAATGAAGAAGAGTATGTTTATTACTTTTCAGGGGTGGACCTTTGCTCCAGTGCACCATCAAGAAGGTGGGATGCTCTGAGGGAGGTGGTGAGGACTCAAGTGCATCTCGCAGACAGGGTGCAGAAACAGCCTCTGGGGCTGTGCTGCTGGTGGTATTTGGCCAGCAGATCCTTCTCCCTGTCCTATGCATTTTTATTAGGTTTGGTTTGGTCTGGTCTGGAAATCCATGTGCAGGTATGCTTTAGTCCACACAGTGCAGCTGACCGTGCCCTCAACTAGAGCAAGTTGCTTAGGCTTCCTTAGGGCAATCTTTTTGCTTTAGGGAATAGGGGGAAAGTAGAACCTACCTTAGCTCAGTCAGCACCCACAGCTGTATGTGATGAAATGCATGCAGAAAAAGCTGTAACAGCATGAATCTGCAGTGATGGCTGCGCCTTCCATACAGAATTAGCACAGTTTAAGGATTTGGGGAAGTGCCTGCTTTTGGCAATATTAGAGGGTCACTGGATTAGTCATTTCAGCTCAGAAGGGATCGATGGATTGTCTATTCCATGTCTCCCTGATGAAGAGGGATTAGCTTAGTGATGTACTCAATAAACCTCTATTCTTGGGATGAAGTTTCTCAGAGTGATTTCTTATTGTAGATGAAAGTACATTAGAGAGATACAATTTAGGTCACAAAAGTAGAACACTTAAAAAATGACAGATTTCCAATGGACTGGGTAGCACATGGTTATCCTGTCCCCACATACGTGCAGCCTGGGGGTGACAGTGGTATGTGGTCACAAGAGTAAGGATTGCACGATCGTCAGCCTTTCATAAGTATGTGCTGAACCTGTAGTTACAACCTCTGTCCCGCCATTCCTAACTTTGGACTGTTTGGCTTTTTAATAATTTTGTTTCTAAAAATAATTTGGATATGAACTTTCCAATGTGCATTTAACTGGCAAAAGTAAAAGGAACTCAGATTAAGCATTTGTAATTGCTGGCTTCTTCATGACTGGGATTTCAACTGGAAACCCCATTTGGTGCAGTAACCATTACTACTTAAGCTCCAAGGCTGACTGCTACTTAACCAGCAGCTGGAGGAAGCTTTTCATCAAAGAAGGCTGAGTAGATGTCAGACCTAGGCTTTAGAGGTTTTCATTTGATGTAAGGTCTCAGCGTGGGATAGGGAACTTTTTTCAGTTTGTATGCTGGTTCTGGTTAGGTTGGGGGGATGGGGGGTTGTTTTTGTTTTTTTCCCCCTCCTGATGCCTGGAGTTGGTGGATTTTCTGCCCCATATAGGACTTTGGAGGAAGAGATGGGAAGAAATACTACCCAAACTGCTTGACCGACTCTCTTGCTTCCAGCCTTCTGAGTTGGGAAGGTTCCTGCTCCATGCATGTTCCCTGTCAAGGAGAGAAGTGCCCCGTAATTCATGTGCCACATTTTTGGGAAAGGGAGGAGCATCTGGAGGTAGCTTACTGTCTTATCTCGCCCTGCTTCATTTGCTCTATCAAGCTGCAGGTAAGCTCAGGGCTTGTGGAAACTTTGGCTGCCTGTCAAAACAAACTTGAGGCACAGAAAAACAACAGCTTTTAACACTCAGTCCAGTGAAGATTTAGGACAAAATAAATCCCAATATTTGCATGAAACCAAAAATAAACATGAAAGCCATTTCCCCCATAAAAATCACTTCAGCCACATTGGTATTTTTTATGTGAAAAGGCTGAAGGAGAAGCTGGTGGAAGTCTGCCACAGGGAGGGAGAGGAAGGCAGAGGAGGAGAAGGATGCTCTGCCAGAGGTTTTGCAGTCACTTGCTGGCAGTATTGATGCTTAGATACCGGCTCCAGGTGCCTTGGGGAAAGTGATACTCATTACTGGATCCTTTACCTGTCTCCTCCTTTTCTACGCCTCCTCTCCCTGTTCTCTGCAGCCCTGTTGTGCTTTGTTCCTCCTTCTGCAGTCTGTGCTTTTTGCCTCTTGCCATCTCCCCACACTGCCATTCCTTCCTCTCTCTCCTTCCTTCCCTGCTCTTTGCATCCCTGCTGAGTTTTCGGCAGGTGGCTTTGTTCCTCCCAGCATGGCATCAGAGGCTGCGGTTCTGTGGTGCCAGGCTCAGCTCTTCACTGCAGGCTCCCCCTCACCCCGGCACTGTGACAGCAATGCTGGTGGCGTGGCCGCAGGGTGAACCGGTACAGGCAGACAGAAAAGCTGTTGCTGGTCTGATTCACCGGGCTGTCACGCAAACGGCACACGTGCCAAAGGCTTGCTCATAGTGGTGCTACCTCTGAAGTCAGGTTTTTATCCTGACCCTTCTGTGCCGCCAGGGAGGCATGAAGAACACAGACACAAGTGAAGTGATCTTACTGTTCCCAGTTCCTGCTCTGGTGGCACAGATGCTTAGGAGAGACAGGTATGGAGAAGGCTCTGCTCATCTCTTCTGCATGGGGCTGGTGCCCAGCATGGATGAGGAACTGTGCTGGAACACTAACACATCCCTCTGCAGACACACAGGCAATGGGCAAAAGGCATGCACTGGTGTGCCAACCCTACCAAATTTCAAGGCCCAGCTCCAAAGTATTGTGTCACAAAAGTTTTTTAGCAAAGTAATGGGACACTTTGTTTTAGACAGGCAAAATTATATACATCCCCTGATCCTTGTTTTCAGAAATGCCTAATCATTTCTAAATGAACTATTTCAGAACATAATAACCTATCCTGAAGCAGACGTCCAGCATAGAAAACTTCAACCCAAGTGTTTAATGCTCAGCAAGTAAAATTATAACCAGCTGAAAGCAGAGGTGTATTGGGAAGTGCCAAGCAGCCTTAATTTAGGAGACACTTTTTGCACAGACACTTCAGTTTGCCAGAAAAGAAAGGAGAGCCCAGCTGCCAACAAGTGCATCAGTTTGGACAGAAGAATGGAAAACTACATTTTGCCCTTCATTTATAGTGCTTCAATATCTGTTTTCAGGACGCAAACATATATCTGCTTTTTCTTGTCTTAAATGGGCTAGGTGTATAAAATCTAGCAGAGGCACTTGGTTTTGTCCATCTTTTAACACCGTAAAATTGTTTATGGTATTGCCTTAGAAATGGCTTAGTTCAGTGACCTTTTCCAGCACTGACTAGCTGCCAAATAATCAGTGTTTGAAAGACTCTGGACCTGATTCTTCTCTCCTTTACACTGTTTTTTCTCTTGTCATCAGCTGGCTTTGTTGGAGCTACTAATTCCCTACAGGCTTGGTCTGAATAGAAAAATATATAGATAGATTTATATATATATATTTCTGTATGTGTACATATCTAGAGAGGAATTATATAGAATAGAAATGCAATCATAGTAGCTGGGTGGTTTCGGTTTTACTTGACATTGTGCACACGTGCTGAGATCATTAGATTCCTGAAGCGTACTCATGAGCACCTTTTCCCTAAGGGATACCTCTCCAAGCGTTCTTTAGAGTTCTGTGTGACTTTGCTGTTAGCTGTAAATTTTCCCATCTTCATCAGTTAGAGGACCAGACTGAAGTACTCGTTACAAGAATACTAAACCATTTATTTTCGTCTCCTTCTTGTAGGCAGAGGCAGTACAAAATGCAATCCTGGTTTGAGGTCCAAGAACTGGCTGCTCAGGTGGTGAAATGCATTCTCTAACCATGCACACCTTAGGCTTTACACTGTAGCATTTAGTGGAAGTGGTGTCCTTTCGTATTACCAAGCTTAGTGACAGATGTGATCAGTTTTGGAATGACTGTAGCAAATCGTCAGAGTTTTCCATGCTGTATGCCATTTGCTGCACGTTTATATTTGACAAGTGAGAATGATGCTACCCAGCACTTTTATGTAAGGTTTTAACCCAAAGACTTCAAGGCCTTTTACAAAAAAAGGTGAGAATGACTACTTGCTTTTGTGTCTGGATGCTCAGAGACTTCAGATGCTTCACCTGGAGTCTACGCTACAGTTCTGAGATCTTGCAGCTTATGACTCTGGGAGTGTGTTGACCCTGAGTAAAAACCCTTATCCATCGACGTTGGATTGCTGGCCTGTGGTGGCAGGGAAGGGCTGCCTGGTGAAGGCACGTTGAGGATGTGTAACCTGAGGGTAACCATCAGTATGGTTTTATTATCCCAAATATTAACTCAGTTGTGCCTTATGGCAAGGCCTAGACTGGTGCTGAATTAAGACGACAGCAAGCAATGGTGTCATTTTTTCAGTCACCTTTCAGAGTGATTCCTTTTAAGTCCTCTTAGATAAACAAATTTGGTGATCTGCCATCTTCATTTCTTCCCTGCCTTCACTCCTGTCTTTTGCCTCCATCTGTTCATCACAAGCTGAACGCTTCTCATAGTGACATCCTGCCAAACCACCATCCTCCTCCTTGGAGCCTTTTGCTCCCTGTTCTTCCCACCTACTCTGACCTTCACCAGGTTCCTCCCTTCTCCAATCCCATCATAAACTTTCTTTTCTTGGCCTTGGCCGCTGTCTGCATCCTTTCTACTTTACCAACTCCATGTTGTTTCTCACTAGATCAAGTGGTGTTCAGAGATCTTACTGACACCTTTTTTTTTTTATTAGGTTGCAGGTAGGATTAGTGTGAAATGTGCCAGAGATTCCAATAAGGGTCCTCAACAGACATTCCACCTCTCTGTTTTGAAACTGATCCTGGAAATCTTTAAGATTAATGTAGGATCATTTCCATTGCTCCCTCAACAAATGCAGTACTTCTGTCTGGGGTGCTTTGAGTGTATCTGATTACCATCCCCAGCTTACCTTTAATAAAATCCCAAGCTGCCCTGGCTGCAGCTGGTGGGGTGTGATAGAGACAACAAAATTAATTTACAGCAGGGGAAGCAAGCAGTGACAGGGACCCCTGCATAGAGATACCATTATTTTCCTCCCTCAGCCTAAGAAACAACGGAAAAAGAGAGTGCTGCAGCTGGGCACTGCAGTATGTATCCATAGATGGCAGATTGCCTTGCATACTCCCTTCGATACTATTTTTTTTTTATAAAGGGGTATTTTGTGCTCCTCTGGTATTTGATGTGGCCAGATGCCAGAGAGGAATGCCAGCCACTGTCAAATGTCTACCGCATGTGTTGCTTCATTTGCATGTCCATGTGGGATAAAGCCAGCTTCTCTGCGAAGCACCAGTGTTCCACACATCAGCTCTATTTTAAAGATGGATGTTGTTAAGAAAATACTGTTGCACTCCATTCCAACATCATCCATGAGCTGACCCGTATGGGGTGGTCTGAATCCAGCTCAGAGCCAGCTTGTCTCCTGAGGACGTCTGCATCTCACTCCCCCTTCATTAGCTTTGCAGTGAGATGTGTCCATTGTAATAATCGATGTTTGTGTTTGAAAAATGTCTGTGGCTGGGTATATACCACATGCCATCCGTTATCAACCTGCATTTTAATGAAGAGCTCTTTTCTGACAGCAGAAGGGACTCTGTGAAAGTTTCAAGATCTAGAAATACTGGGGAGTGAAACCTGAAGCAAAGTTTGGCAGCTTGCAAATTATTTATTGCCTGGGACTTTCACTGAATCACTGCAGCCTAGAGATGTGGTCCTGCTTTCTTAGCCTTTGCCAGGTCTCCTTGCTTAACTTTTAGCTGAGGGGTGGGCACCCTGCCTTTAATGGGGAGAACCTTTCTCTGATAAGTGTACTGGGGCCTCAAGGCAAATATATGTCCTTAAAAGCTTTTCCCCTGAAAATTCTCATTTTATTTTCCTGGTTAGTCAAAGCTGCTAACAAAGGTGATTTGATTTGTCCTCGCAGAATGACTTCAGACCTCCGTCCTAAGGAGGCTGCAGCTATAATTTGATTAAAGTATTCCAGTATTCCTGGCTGAACCAAAGGTCCATGGGATTGTGGGGGGATGAGAGTTTGTGACTGACTCGAAGGGTATGTGGCATCTGACTATAACCTTTGGGGTAAAATACGTCTGTGTCACTTCAAGTTCTCAGACCAGAGCCCAAGTTCGTATTTGTTTCCTTCTGAAATAAAACTTGGGTCAGGTTCTTCCCAAAGTTACACTTCAGCACTGTTTATCCCAACAACAAGCTTTGAGCTAGACTTCGTTAATCTTGTGTTGATTGAAGAGGTGTTTATAGGAAATCTAAAGCAACTTTATTTCCCCAGGGTTCCACAATGAGGATGTCAGATTTGCAGCTTTCCACCTTAAAATAGACCAAGAGAATTCCTATTGTTCAGGTGACATAGTGAGGCTGAGATGCAAACATAGAGGGAAGCAGTAGCTAGTATGTTTTGACTGGTTCTTTTTTCCCTGACATTTGGGGTTTTGTTTTGGGTTTTTTTTTTTTTAAATAATATCTTTTATGGAGAAGAATAGGGGAAAATCAGCGGCCAGCTTCTGGCTGGTGCAGTCGGGATGCACAGCCTGCACAGAGGGTGAACGTGACTTAACGCCTACATCTGACAGGAACCAATTTAGACATTTTTCCCATCTCTGCAGAGGGCTGCACTGCAGTATTAAACATTGGTGCCTGATTAATTCCCTCCTCCCCATTTCTCAAAGAAGGAGAGGAGGAACAAGCAGAAGTTAATAGCCGGTGGCCAGTGCATCCCCTGTAACTTTGTAAGCGCTGAATTGAAGTCCTTGCCCTGAAATGTGTGGGTGGGTTCTGATATAAAACCAGATCCCCTTTGCAGACCCATAAGCATTGCACTGTCGCTATAAGCATCACCCTGACCAGAAATTCTGCTGAGGACCTCAGGAACACATCTCAGTCAAGCTTCATTGAACCCAGCACTTCCTCACAGACTGTTGGAATCAGCATTTACCAGCATCGGGCTAAATTTTGGTGTTGAAAATCCTACTTGCATCGAGTGGAGTCAGAAGGACAGCAGCTGGTACAGCCCTGGAAATGAAGAGGCCTCGGGTCTATGCCCAGTTCTGCCACCAGCCTTCTCCTACAACCCCGTTCCTATGAGGCCATTTTACTTTTTGTCCTACAAGTTACCCGCATGCTCTGTGAAATAAGAGTGCTATGAAAGACCTAGAAGTTGTCTGTCAAAAGTATTATTTTGTCAACTAAAGAAGCCATGGCAACATAAAGCTACAACACAGTTTCCATCACAAGACTCACTTGAGTCAGTTACTGCCTTTGAAACATCTGTGGTGCAGGCTAAAAGTAGACTTTTCCTACCAGAGTTGAAGTACATTGAAGGAGTCACATGGGGGGGGAAAAAAAAAGTGCAACAACAGTTACACAATGCCTCAACGGTTTCCTTGCTTTTGTTGTTGCTATTCTTTTTCCAGCCAGACTGATGAGTTTACTGGATTTGTTGAACTGCGATATAGTGAACAGCACCACCGCTGAGACCCTCGTGGTTAAGTTTCCTAATACTAACAAAATTCCTGCAAGGAATTACCTGCAGCTGGGGGTTTATACCACCGCTTGAATCTGTAGGGACCAGAAAGTTGTAGGACTCTTACCTGAGCACTTTATCCAGATTTGTACCTGTTCTATTTTACCTTTATCCTATGTTATGGTAACTTCTGTCCTCCCTGCATTCCTCCCTGTTCTAGGGATGCGTCTATCTAGAGATCGGAAACATGGGAATAAGATCACTGGATGATATTTTACCTGGAAAATGCAAATATATGTCCTGGAGGGGGAAAAAGTTGCTTCTCTCTGAGAGAGATTTGAGATACCTGAAATAGCTGAGATGTAGTGGGGAACATTTTGGACGTAACTTCGTGACATGACTAGCAAAATGGGCCAGTGTGGGGCCTGCCGGTATGACACGTCGTGCTTGCTTGGATCTGTAAACTGCACAGAGGATTTTTATTGAAGAAACACATTTCTACAGCGCTTTTCACTTGATCATCTCAGAGTGCTTTAATAGGCTCAGAAGATGCTGGGGAACAATCAAGGCAGAAGCCATGCTGTAGATCTTGCAGCATTTATTTCTATGGAAGTCATCTTTTCTTACTCCCTTTTTAGTCAGACATCAAAAGGAAAACAACAAGATGAAGGCAAAGACTGAGGCTCATGCCCAATGCTTTTCCTTATCAGCTGCGCTAAAGAAAGGGAGAAAGGAAACAAACAACATTGCATGTAAATAATATATTTTTTTTCCCTTTGACTACTACAATTTCATTGGTTCACTGTAATTAGGCAGAAGGGACTGAAATGATTTGTATGTCAGATCTAGCAGACAATATTGTAAAGGTATCATTCTTTTAACAGATACTTTTGACTCCTGAAAGCCTGGAATCAAAACCTTTATTTCAAATGCACGCATACTTCAGCAAATTTCAGAAGCAATTGCCAGTTTTGTGGTTTGTACCTGATATTATGCTGAGCTAAAGCCAGGATTTGAAAGTTTGGAAAATATGGCTCCAGATTTTTTAGTCAAAGGCCATCTGAAATTATGAGCAAGAAGAAAGGAAGAGAGTTCATGTTTTATGGGCCAGGTGTGCAGGGGTGTGTGATATACTGGGTGCTTTTAAGATATGCCAGAAAGTCTAATCCCAAGGCCGGGAAGACAACCCAGCAAGCAGAAGAATTTGGATGATAAAGTATCAACACAAATTGCTGACTGCTGTCATTAGGGTGTGCATTAAGGGGAGTTTAAAGCCCTCTTAAAGAGAAATAAAGGCTCTGCAGTGTTGTTAGGAGATCGTTGTCTGAGGGATGGATACAGGAGCAAAGTACCACAGAGAAGGGGCACAGGTTTATGTGCAGCTTTGAAGGAGGGTGGGGAATCGTGGCAGCTCCGTGCCGGTGCTGTGGCTGAGCTGGGGTCACCAGGCTCATCCTGGCTCGGGCCCACACAGCCACACATAGGGGAGATGCCGCTGTTCCAATGCCCAACACAGGGAATCGAGGGACAGGTTTGCAGGGGTGCAGCAAGCATCTTCTGCTCTCACAGAGGCAAATGAGAAGTATGGGTACCCGCTTGCTCTGAGAAATCAGGTTTTGCTGTTCTCAGACTGACTGGTTTTGTAAGTACTGACCTTGCCAATTTTGGTGCCTTGTCCTGGTACAGGAGTGTTTGGAGATGTCCCTGTGAAAAGGGTAATTTCTTCTTGGTTTTGTAACATTTTATGTTAAAATCTCTTCCCCTTACCCCAAACTATAGTCTCTGGTCCCCATAAGGACTGTGCCTGGCCTTGGCTGGTTCGTCACCTCTCCATTCACCCCTAGGACACTGACCTGTGATGAAACTCCACTGATGCAGAGCTGATGAAAACTGTGTGTGGGAACCTGAATGAGGAGGTATGTAAAAGTCAGTTGCCGAGGGAAAGCAAATCTTTTCAAATCCTTTTTTTTTGGCAGGCAAAATAGGAACTGCCTCTGAGCGGGGCTGGTAGGGGGTGGTTCATGGTGCTGTGCTGGCTGCACCAAGCGATGCTCTGGCCCCCTCTGTGACTCTCCTGAGGGCTGGTGGCACCAGCAGCAGGGACTGGACAGCGAGGGAAGTCAGGAATTTTGTTAGAAGGTACTTATGCATGCAAGTATCGGATATGTGATGCAACAGCTGAGTCTCATGGTGTGAAGCCTGCATCACCCATCATCTCAAAGGAACAAGCCTAGGGTGGAAGAACTGCTCCCCCACCATCGCAGCTGATAGCAGCGCTCTGTTCCCGTGTAACGGGTGGTCTCTCTGCACATAATGAGCAACCTTTGGAGGACTGTGGAAGTAGAAATGTTAGGATGTAAGTAGGCCTCTTGACTGAACCTTCACCCTGTCTCCCGAAACAGTCCTTACTGTGTAACCTTCGTGATAAACTAGTTCCCACGCTGAAGAAAGCAGAATCCAGTCTGGCAGTGAGTCGTCCTGAAGCCTTGGCTGTGTAACAAATGTGTGCAACTTGCACCCCCTTATCTGTCTTTTGCATAGCACCTCTGAGAGAATACAAACCCTCTACCCGCTCTGCAAGCACAGCGTTCACATCAGCAGAGCCTGTTCCTCTGCTGCTCAGTCTTCTCGCCTGGAGCTATCATAAATAAATGGCTGGTCCTCTGACCTGACCCACAGGGGAGGTTTAGATTGGACATTAGGAAAAAATTCTTCACTGAAAGGGTTGTTAAACATCAGAATGGGCTGCCCAGGGAAGTGGTTGAGTCCCCATCCCTGGGGGTATTTAAAAGATGGGTAGATGAGGTGCTTAGGGACATGGTTTAGGGGTGGGATGGCAGGGTTAGGTTAACAGTTGGACTTGATGATCTTAAAGGTCTTTTCCAACCTAAATCATTCTGTGATTCTATGATTTGTACTCTGGTTATTCCATGACGGGATGGAGGAGCCAGCAGCTTGTGCTCTGTTTGAACAATATTGTCTGCATCTTAAAACACCTGAGATACAACGTTCTGTAGCGGGGCTGTTGGTGTGGGAGAATGGGGCTTGTGCCCACTGTTTTCAAGTACCTGTGAGGCTGTGTTTCAAAAATCGGGCATTTCACTGGTTTACATGTACTGTGAGGAGAAGGCTCATTTAATCATATGTTGAGGGAGAGGCAGCACTGCAGGGAAAGGCCAAGAAGGCCTGAGCTGGATACTGTAGCCTGGGAAGACAACGAAGGGTGGCACACGACCAGACCCAGTTTCCTGGGGTTACAGTTGGATGCTCATCTTCCTCTCCATTGGTATTCCAACTTAGCAAATATTGCCCTCACAGAAGTCAGTGTTAATTTACCACAACTTGTGCCATTTATGTTGGCTAGAAAAACACAACTTGTATAAGATGACATACAATTTATTGTTAGTCTATTTAAAAGCTTTAACAGTCTGCTCGAAGAGTCCTCATCAATCCACTTACAACGATGCTAACAATGATAAACAACGTTATCTAGAATATTAGAAAGGGGAGAAAAGAAAAAACACCCATAACATACCAGTGTCAAAACTAATATACACACAGCACTTCAGTTGCTGCAGCTTTCCCCAGGTTGTGCTCACCCCTCCGCTGCCCAAGCACTGGATTCAGAGGTGCTGGCTGTCCCCTGGGAGAAGGTGGGAGAGCTGCAGGTAGCATAGACCCACCAAGTTCTTTGTTCCCAGCAACGCAATGCCAATGGTGTGGTCCCTCCGTCTGCCTCGCCATGGTGCTGGTATGGGCTTGCTGCCTCCTCCTCTGCAAGAGTCCAGCTGGAGCTGTTTCCATCCTGTCTCTAAGGCTCTCCCCACCACGCTCCTTGGTCCCCAGAGCCGGGTACATCCACGCTGACCCTCCAGGCAGAGCTGTGCACACCTTGCAGACCTGCTCCTCGCCCTCCTTGCTGCCTGCGAGTGGTGTTTCCCAGCCCCAAGGTCACGTTCCTCCCTTGATGCAGATGTCGTTGCCCACAGGGGAGTCGTTCATGGCACCGGGGCTGAGGGTATCGCCCTGTGCCACAGGTTTCAAGGCCCCGCTGCCCTCCCCTGCCGGCACCCCCCACGCTGCATTTTTCCTCCCGGCTCAGGGTCCAATGGCTGTGCCCACAGCTGCCCCTGCTGCCCCGCAGAAACACAGCCGATCCGTGCTGCCGGAGGCCTTTCGGCACCCCTTGGATCAGGGGGAGCAAAACCCGAGTGCCGATGGGTGAGGGCCCCGAGGCATTAGATGGTTGCTGTTACAGCAACAGAGCTCACGCAAAGCTCCCCACATGGGATGTCCCAACCAAAGCAAGGCTGGCAAACCTCTGTGTTAGGTTTTGCAGTATTAGTACACAGCCTGTGGCCTGTTTCTGGCAGTGGCAAGACCGTATTTCATGGGCTACAGGCATGCAGACCCCCATCTGATAGTCCATGGACAAAAGCTGTCACACACACGAGTCCAGCAAGGATGGTGCAAACCCTCCTGTGGCTCAAGGCTCCTTGCCAGGACCGAGCAATTGATCTTCTTGGAGGCGTTTGCCTTTTCCTATCTGGTCTTGCCTCGTGTGGGTCTGAGGGTGGCCTGTAGTTCTTGGCTTTGGTATATAGCTGCTACTGGGTTTACTTAATACTTGATTTTATAGCCAGAATAATTTGCACAATTAACCAAACTCTTACAATACCCACGATTACACTTCTAGGCTGTACAGCCTAGTTAAATGTCAGTAGCTGATGGGAGTCCCGCCGAGGGGGGATTTACACCAAGAATGATGCTCGGCACCTTTTTATTGAGGTTGTAGTAAGAGCAACTTGCTCACTCTTGTCATGTACTGCGACCCTTGCTTTGGTGGCTTGTTTCACTGCCGGTGGGACTGCAAATGTTACAGCTGGATGCTCTGTTATCTGCAACACCGGCTCAGACCTAACCCAGATGTTACTAGGCTTCTTTTAGTACACAGTCAAGAAGTTTCTAGTAATTTTAGTGTTGCTCCTAAAAGCACTGCATAATTAAAATCATACCGTTAAATTAAAGTTATGTTACATGCACATGTATTATCAGATGACTTAGACATGCAGAGGTGATTTCTGGATGCCGGGTATACACACAAACACAGCTGGATTCCACGTAAGTGATTACAGACCCGCTAGAAATGAAAGGATACACTTCGTATTCACATCCAGCTAAAATATGTTCAAATGGATTGAAAACTGATATCTTCTTATATGCAATTTGCACGTGTAAGTGCCTCCCACTTGCTGGTGTCCTTCCAGAGAGGCAGCTGGGAGCAGCCCGTCATCGCTGGTGCACAGCTCTCACCTCAGAAACCCTCCTGCTCTAAGTTTCTCAAATCACCTCATCATCTCCTCCATAACGGAATAAAATTTTTCATCAGACCAATACATGATTACACATCATACACATATGTAGCATGTTGATATCCCCATCACTGGGGAACCTTTAATTTTCTACCCATCTCAGCACCATCAACTTATACATAGGTACCCTAAGTTATACTCAAAACTACGCTATGCAGTTTTCCTAATGTAAAGCTACACTAATGATATATTTTTTTAAAATATAACTTATCCTACCAGAAATGTCTACACTTGATTTGTTCACCTTTCTTACTGTAGTACGTAAAATACCCTCATGTTTTGCAGATACAGCTACATGTTTTCAGTGTTACATATACAGGCATTGCATCGCATGCTGGTGATCCATGAATCACAATCACTATCGAGAACAGGAGGTGTGCCCATCCTCATCCAGGGAAACAGGGTTTCTCTTGTTTGGAGATGGTGACCCCTTTAAACTGGATCCATTTTTTTCCTTGTCACCACAGTTTGCTTATACTTTTCTCTCATTTGAACTTCAGCAACTCATCTAAAAAAACCCATTGCATTTTTCCCTTCATCTACACATACATGATAATAAAGCGAAATAAAAGCAGGGAAGAAAATGCTAAGCAACAAACAATTAATAATATCCATCATTTGGAATGGCTACTTATTCTTCTGTGCTACCTGTGGAAGGGAAAAATAGCAAAGATTGTTATTAATAGTTATCTTAGTTCACTAAGGTAGATCATTTCTGGGCTCCCCGGTTCAAGAAAGATGAGGAACTCCTAGAGAGAGTCCAGAAGAGGGCAACAAAGACGTTGAGGGGACAGGAGCATCTCCCTTATGAGGAAAGGCTGAGGGAGCTGGGCTTGTTTAGCCTGAGAAAGAGAAGACTGAGAGGGGATCTCATCAACACGTACGAATATATTAAGGGTGGATGTCATGAGGACAGAGCCAGTCTCTTCTCAGTGGTGCCCAGAGACAGGACTAGGGGCAATGGGCACAAACTGAAGCATAAGAGGTTTCATCTGAACATGAGGAAGAACTTCTTTACCTTGAGGGTGACAGAGCACAGGAACAGGCTGCCCAGGGCGGTTGTGGAGTCTCCTTCTTTGGAGATATTCGAAACCTGCCTGGATGATGTCCTGTGCAACCTGCTCTGGGTGACCCTGCTTGAGCAGGGGGGTTGGACTGGATGATCTCCCGAGGTCCCTTCCAACCCCTGCCATTCTGTGATTCTGTGATTTACACCCATAGGACTTTTTGATTATATTAAGGATCTAATAAACTGCATCTTTGTATGTTACTATACAATTTATTAGCTTATGTTCTTGCTCACCAGTCCTCCATAGCATTTGTTTCCTGATGGTTCTATCTTTTCTCTGTAACAGAAGAACTTTATATTTAAATTAAAAATCTGTTATGTTAATGCATACTCTTTACCATGATCAGTCTTTTCAAATTTTTTTATTTTGCCTTTTCTTCACTCTAAGAAAAAATTCTGGTGTTAACACATCAACTAGAATCATGTATTATGGGCTTAACTTTTTGCTTTCAAAGTGAGCTTTGTTCCAAGTCAGAATATTTTATCATTAATTACCCGCCCCTCAAACCTTTATAAATACATCCTTAATCTGCCATTTTTCCAGCTTCTAACTTTTTAGATATTGGTAGCACTTACCTAGCATTCCTCAGCTTCAACCCTTTTTTCCATTTTTTTGATACCACTCCTAAATTCCTTTCCTGCACATGCTTCCACTTGTTTACATGAAAACACACCACTGAACTTAACATCACTAATGCTAAGCCTGAACTGCTGCATTTGTGTTGGTGTCTTTTGAATTTGCCCTGCTTGTACCTTTTGATTTTGCTGCTTTACCCCTGATAACAGGCAGGTATTATTTTTGAAAACAGTGCCTTTTCTTCTCTTTACAGTCCAAGCCTATAGAAGAGCCAGAAAGAAGATGCTATTCTTTTCTCTGTGCTTCACTCTCAGGGTTTATACTGTGCTTGGGACCCCTATAACCTTCCTTGCACGGTCCGTCATGCCTATAGCTCATTCTGGAGGGGGTTGGAGGTTGGGCTAGATGACCTTTAAAGGTCCCTTCCAACCCAAAACATTCTATGATTCTATGATTCTACGATTCTATGATTCTATGATTCTCAGTCCCACAGCTGCACATCGCTGCTCGCAAATGCTGCAGCCCAGCTGGTATCACAGCCTGGATTTGATACAGTGTTTTATCAGTCCTTAAAGCCTTCTGCTTTTTTCCCCAAACAGCCTCTGCTGACTTGGCCCGAGCAGTGTTTGGTAGCCCTGCCCGGACTCCTTGCAGCGAAATGGGCACCGGGATG